TGTTTATACCTCTCTTCAGAGCTGATTGTATTGGAGCCACACTGCAGTGGTGTCCCAACAAGAGTACCAGATCTTCAAAAAGCTCTTTTGGAGAAAAAAATCTTATTGATCTTTCTTCTCCTAAAGACCAGTTAGCATTCAGTATCTATAGTTTATTAAAATCTTCCAGGAGAAAGATCAGTCTGCTGTTAATTAGAAGCCCATGCTGAGGAGATTCTTGGTGGTATGAAAAGGTAGATATTATTCCTTAGCTGACTAGTAAAGCATCAGGCTGCATTCTCCTGTAGTGTCTTACTTCACTAACTGGATAGGTTGGAGACATCTTTCTTTTTCTACATGATTCACAACTGAATTACTTTTAGGTGTAGTACAGTATAATTTCTTTAGCCTGATGCTTTGATTTGATTCAATGTGTCTGTGTTTATTAAAAAAAAAAAAAAAAAAGAACAACCCCAAACCTCCAGTCTAAAACCCAGTTTAATCAGTGTGGGAGACATTCTGCCTGCAGAGTGGTAGCCATGTTGGTGGCTTAAGGGTTAATCTCTTGTTGCTGTAATAGGATTTGAGAGCAGCAGCTCAGTCTGCTTGTGTTAGCAAGATTAAAAGCAAGAGCTGCAGTGCCATTGCAAGCACTGAATGAGTGGGACTGTTGCAGAGTGAACTGTAGCTGAATTTTGTCTTTTCTTCTTGCTTTTTTTTTTTCTAACCAGCTCCTCCCCCCTTCGTTCCTACTCTCAAGTCTGATGATGACACCTCAAATTTTGATGAACCAGAGAAGAATTCGCGAGTTTTATCCTCTACGCGCCAGTTGAATCCAGCAGGCTTCTCGGGTGAAGATTTGCCATTTGTGGGGTATTCATTCATCAAGACACTGGGGATCCTCAGATCAGAGTAAGTAGGAATTATTGCTTAGATGAATAGGACCACTGGAATATGAAGATTTGTTACAGTGAGGATGGTGCATGGGGGGGGGAAGCTATTTTAAGTGGCCTGTACTCTGCTTTCGGGAACCTGCCAGATTCAGGCTTTATCTGTTGCTGCTGTGGCTTGTGCATATCTTACTGTTCTTGTGATTATTTCTGGGGTGATGAGGAGGGAAGCAAATTGCAGGATTGATTCTGAAGGAGTTATTTTTAAGGTCGTTGTTTAAATACTTTGAATTAGTTGTTGCTGTTAACCAGGGAGCAGTAGGTGGTTGCATCTCTGGTACTGCAGATCTCAGAAAGAAGGAAAATACTAAGGAGTTTAGAGATGGAAAATGTGTCTGGGGGAGTATTTTATTGGGTCAGAGATTGGGTACCACAGTGCTAGGTTGTGCAAGGTTGAATCAGTAATCCACAGAAATGGAGCTCCGCTAATCTAGGAATATGTGGTGATGGGTCAGTGAACCACAGAAGGAGCTTCATGGAGCTGACACGGTTTACTGTTGGTCAAGTTAAATATGGACACTGGATATTGCTGTATTGTGTGTTAGGAGACTGGCAATTCAGATGAAGTATGCAGGGTGTTTGTTGGGAGTGGTGACGATCTAGAAAAACTGGTTATCATTTGGAAGAAAACATGATTTTGGAGAGAATGGAGTCAGGAAAAGAAGAATATAAATAGTATGGTATAAACCATTTGGTGTGGTGGGTGGTTAGTTCCTGATGATAGAGCTAATGAAAAAGTATCAGTGCAGCACATTAAGTTGGGAAGTCCTTACCTCAGTATCATGAGACCTCCCCGGAATGCAATGGCTTTAGCTGGGTTAGTGACTCAATGCACTAAGGTGCTGTGTTTTAGTGTCAACCGTCTTTCATTGCTGCCAGTTAGTTCCCATAAGGGACTTCATTGTCAATCTGTCTTAATCAAGTTTTCATTTTTCTGTCATATTGATTGTGATAGTTGCTCTACAGGAAGTATGCAACCAAATCTGGTGATACTGTTGACATCTTTGATCTTGCCCACACCATGAATCAAGGTTATATGATGGTTATGCCAGTAATAAAAAGGGATCCTCTGACTGTCTCTCCTTAGTAGATTTGCTTTTATGACAAGGGAGAGGACATATCAACCAAAAAAATATTGTTTTGGTGAAGTAATCTAATATTGTCAGCAGAATCAGACAAATGCAATGTTATGTCTGCAGATTCTTGCAGTTAAAGTCTATCTTGAATTAGAAGTGAAATAACTTATGGTGTTATCTTTTTCACCTGGGGAACTATCATCCATCTATCAAGACTAGATGACCATTTGCGTAACAGTCAGAAGAGGCTCAACAGTGAATATAGATGTACTGGTAAAGATGTATATGTAATAGCGGCCCAGGACTGAAAATGAAGAGGAGCTTGAGGTAAAGTCTCAGGAACAGTAGTGTAACTGTGCTGGAGGGTGAAGGCTGAACAGTCATACAGATGTAGCAGATTGACTGGTATGCTTTCTTAGGGGAGCTGGTATTAAAGATGCATATTGAAGTTATGTTTAGATTTTGGTAGTAGCTGAGTAGGGGTACAGCAAAAGAATGTAGAGATTAATGTGTTCTGGAGGAATTATGTTCTGCTTGGTATGGCCTGGTCTTTTTTATGCTGGAATAGAATGACATCATGTACTTAATTTTTCTCCCCAAATAGTTTTAATATGAGTAGATTTTAGTGAATTCTGTTTTTGAACAGATCTTGAGAAGTGCAATTTTATATTTTTAGGAGTAAATACTTGCATTTTCTTCTAAGAAGGTTTTTTAAATATGGCAAAGCACGTACAGGGGCTTGGAAATATCTGTATTTAAACTAACACAGAGACTAGTTTATTCTCAATATCATGGCAACTCTGGGATGTAAAGATAACTTCTTATTTATAAAATGTCTATTGTGTAGTGTACGTTTTACTGAACAGATTAAGTACTATTTCTGCCCAAGTTGGCATAAATACCAAATTCTAGATGGGTGAGAGAGCAGTAAATGGGGGGTAGGCTTAAAAAATCTGTGAATCTTGGGATCCCTTCTCTGCAAAGACCTGTCGTCAAGTTTATCAGTGCAGATTTTTTCTTCTTAAAACCTTTCCCCGGAAAGTCTAACCCTTATGGTTGCTAAGTGATGCAAATCTGTTTTCCTGTGTCTGCAGCATGATAGCTCTAATGCCTCTACTGCTGCTTACAGTTAGGCCAGGCAACTGCAGCGTGCCATTAACAAGGTCCTTGAAACTTTCATTGCTTTTATTTTATGAGATCTGTCAAGCTATGAAGTTTAGGGTTATATTCTTGCCCCTGTTCACTGGACAATAAGAAGCACTAGTTGAGCCAGGCATTTGAAATATTTTAGGGAAA